GGGGGGGGGAGCGGGGAGGGCAGGGACCGGCCTGAGTCGTTGTTTTTAATTTTGTACTTTAATTTAATTTTATTTTTTAAGAAGCTTCTCGGGGGGGTCTGATGTGCATGAGAAACTCGTCATCTTTTTCAATAACCTACGAGTGGCATTTATGGAGACGACGACGCAAAAAAAACACCAAACAAAAAACAAAACCGAGAAAAAAAAAAACCACAAAAAAAAGGGGAAAAAAAAAAAAAAGATACTTGTGTCATGATGTTCTACGAATGATCCATTGTAAATTTAAATGCCATTTTTCACTGTACTGGTGAACAAAATGCAATGAATAAAATACATTCATGTACCGAGGCGAGGCCGGCAGCCGCCTGCTCCTTTCTGTTCCTCCCAGGCGCCGGCTGGTTTTTGGGGTGCCTGCGGGATAGGGTGGCATGGCCGGGGGGGGCTGACCCCGGAGTCCTTCGCCGGCTCCCAGCGCAGGGGGAGCCACTGGCTGACCCACTTATGCCTTTTGCCAGAAATAGCAGCCCGGCAGCTTGCTCCTCTTCGCTACGTTACCGCCATCCCTCCGAGGAGGGGTCCCCTCCGTGCCCCCTGGTGTTGCCCACCCTGGTGGGGTTTGGTGCTCAAACGGCCCCTGGGGACACCCCTGGTAGCACCTGCGCGCCCGCTAAAGCCGCCATGCTAGCGCCCACAAACCCCGCCGGGCCCCCCGGCCCCACCCCCCCCTGCCGGCACACGGTGGCACGCCTGTCACCAGCCCCGGCACACGCGTGTCACCGCGCTGCCGGCCCCAGGCACAGGCAGAGGCGGGGCAGGCGTGTGCAGCACACTGGGGTTGTCACTGCGACCAGGAGCAGGGATGGAGGGGGATGGGGGAAGATGTGCCACCCTGCCCGCACACGCACTCCACGGTGCCCCCAGCCCCGCGCTGGCACATCCCAGCCCGGACCCCCGGCCGGGGCTGGGGGGTGACAAGGACACGGTGCCCTTGTGCACCCCCACAGCCGAGGAGGCCGGTCCAGGGGTCCCGTGGCATGACGGGGAGCAGTGAGCACCCCCCATCCTACCCCCTGCACCCAGTGCCAGCACCCCCATGCTGCCCCCAGCCCAGCTGCCTGTGCCAGGGAGGGGGAGCAGGGAGCTGCTCCCCGCAAGATGGATGGGTGGAATTAAACCCGATTTGGTTTCATTACCGGCCACAAAGCCCCAAGCCCTGGCTGCTCTCCAGCTGGGAGAGAGAAGGGCTGGAGATAGGAGCACAGCATCCCTGGAGCATCCCGCTGCTCCCCCCAGGAGGAGGCCAAGCCCCCCTCTTTTCTCCCATTACTCACATCACTGGGCAGCTTGGGGGGACGACACTGGTTCCCTGTCCCCCACCCGCAAGGGTGGAGCAGCTTAAGGCGTTATTGGGTGGGGGGGAGGCCGGGGAAGCCCCCCCAGGGTCACAGCTGGATGGCAAGGAGATAGTCCTCATCGTTGTCCGGAGGGGCGGGTGGTG